ATGTCTATATCTCCAGAAAACTCCGTAGTCCATTCGTAAATCGATATATTTCATGCCCGTGACAGGTGCCGGCTCGTCTGCGTAAATTTGTCATGCCCGCCAAAGCTCCAAAAATAAGCTCCCTCTCCACCGGCGGTCTTTGCATATATTGTAACCCTTTGACTTGATATTTGTACGTCGCATTTCTTTAATTAGAGCACAATTAAATCATATAAAATACAAGATGAATATTTATTTCAAAGTCTTGAATTAATCACATTTTAGGAAGTAACATTAATATCCCTATTTCTTTAAACAACATAGTAAAAAACTTTATGTTAAATTAACACATTTTACATATTCCAAAAAGTCCATATAAATTTTTGTGTTAATTTAATATAAAGTGAATATATTGAAACATAACACAAAAATTAAATAAAGTAATAAAAAATTAACACAAAATTAATATGTTAAGCGATTCTGAAGTATTATTATTTAAGTGTTATTTTAATACTTACATATGTTGAATATCGATTCAACACAAAATATTAAGATAACAAACATGATATGTTAAATTAACGCACGGACATGTTAAAAATTTAACACAAAAATTTGAATAAGGACCGATTTTAACACAAGTATAAAATGTTTTTTTTACTATGTAGTGCCCAGTATTTATTGTTGAGATTAATCCTGGTAAAGAATGCGATATCGATTTTCTCGACTTGGGATCAAGTGCGATTTTTATAAAAAATAATTAATGCGAAAGACATATATAATGAATTTAGAGGCAAAAAGTGAAAAGGCCGGTATTTTAGCAGATCACTTTTTCAGCGGTCGCGTTCCAGGTATTCGTAACAGTTATCTCGTAGTACACTCACTAGAGAGATAGCTTCACCATTAACATCTAATAAAAATTAACGACGCGAGATAAGTGTTATCGTTATTTGTATTTCTTTTACATTTCTTAGCCACGCATGGAAGGACGTTCAATATATCGTCTGTCTCGTTTGACTTAGCGATACCTTCGTCCCGTAGATAACGGTCGGCGTGCGGTATCAGTCGTGACAAGAGTAATGCAATTACGCTATTAGAATTTTAAATGCGGCCTCCACGACGGTACGCCATGACCAATTTATCGTCAATACGACGCGATATAAAAAGCCCCGCCAGGTCGTTTTCTGGTCAGCAAGCTCACCGGTGATATCAGCCATTTGTAAAATTCGCCGTCGGTCCGGAGCCCTTGTATGTGCGAGTAATAGTTTGCGTAAGTGATCCGAATAAAGGACCCTGACCGCGGGGATGCTAACTATATTGCACACGCAAACCCCGTGTGGAGAGCGTTACAAGTATGATGAGCGTCCGGTGAGTTTGTATTTGCGTGAACTTACGCAAACGCACATACGCAAACGCTTGGTAATTTCAGGTCAGTTATCGTATTCCCTAGTCCCAATTTAATTACAATAGGAGATTTCGTTACAAAACGGCATATCGTCGTTAACGCACGACGGCCCCGTGGTCTACTATACCGACATAAGTGCGCGCGCACACGAATACACGCACGAGCCCAATGATTCGTAGGTACAGAGCGTGACAGACACTGACGACGTGCAAGTCAAACTGCGCGTTGTGCTTTTTTGTAATTGAAATTCATTCAGACCGATAATGATAGTGATGCACGCGAATAACGTTACGTAACGTTAGCATAATTATACGTACGACATTTATACGTCGAACGTGCGAACGCAGCTTGTCGTCATTTTTAAGCCGGAATCTATTTTAATTAATAACAATAATGAGTATAAATAACATTACGCAATATTAGCGTATTATTGGCAATACGTATATCCACGTGCAAGATAGCGGATAAAAACCAGATTATCTCGCTAGCTTTTCATCGTTAGCGCAGTGAACGTATGCTGTTTCACGCACCGCTACGCCGTTCCCGCGGCCGTGTAGTACAACGTTAAAATCAGTTATTATCGGTGAGTAAACGCGGCGGCAACATTTAACGCTTAATTATTTTACCGCGGTGCAACGTGGCGTGTCAATGCGAAAATGGCCGCCTTTTACATTTTCCCCGTGTTTTCGCTTGCGGAATCTAAAACGCTACGGCGAACGAATAAGCTAGGGGCGAACAATGGGAAAATCGACTGCCAAATTTTCATTTCGCGTAACTCCGTCAGCATCGTAATACGTATCCCGTATTCACTGGATTCGTGCTTTTATTTAGTTGATCTAGAAATGCCAGATGTGAATTCGACACGGCGCGTACTCTAGTGGGATATTATCGGTTTTTCGCACGCTCGCGCGCGCGCACTCTAATCTCGATTTTCTGCACTCTCGATCGTCGCAGAAATCATTTTAATCCGTGCAATCTACGACCGAGCTATATCCGTACACTCGCGCGTCTCTGTGAAATTAGTATCTCTCTTCTATTTTTTCGGTTTAGCTCACAGCACGCAGATCCGAACGCACGCACGCACTTCCGTACTCTCGCAAGCATGCACACACAGGCACTCGTGGGCGACGGCGACGTGTCACGCGGTAGATTCACGCTCCGCCAACGCGGACGTGAAGTAATTGCAATTAAAATTTGTTTCGCGAAATTGTTTACCCGCGCTCCGCACTACGCGTGCGTGCGCGGCGAAAGCTTTTATCCCGCTCTCGTTTTACGTTTATCGCAATTTCCCGGCGAATCGAAAGTTGCTATTAGGAGCTCGTCCCCTCTTTTTTCCCCCTCGACCGTAATTAACGATTCGCGACCAGTAACAACCGCCGAATAATGTGTTATCGTGATCGCGTAGATTACCGTAGATTGAACTGTCGGGCATACGATTTATTGCCTTTGTTATACTTTATTGTCGATTGTTATTTTTGCCCGCGCGCGGCGTGACGCGTAATCATAACTCCGATGTTCTTGAAAATCCGGCGCGAATGAACGACCATTCTTTTACTTATACACTGAAAAATAAATTTGGTTGGATATATCTGACAATGAACAACTAAACGCGTTTTGGTTGAAGGAAACAACATCTCATGAACCAAGTTTGGTTCTTGTAGCCGAAAATTCTGTTTTCTTCAACATAAACGTTTGGTTGTTCATTGTCAGATAGACCCAACAAAACTCTTTTTTTTTCAATGTAATATTTTTTTGCATTGTAAATCGCAACAACGATCAGACGCAGCCATATTAAAAGATGTTAATTTCGGTTAAGTGATCTTTTTACATCATTTATGTTACTTCGTTTTTAAAAGGACAAGTAATTGCCAGCACGAACTTACGCGAATCAATCTGTTTGCGTTATTGGTCGTAAATATTTTACCGGATTCGCTCGCCAGTCCGATTTGCAGCGGCCTCCGCGCGGTTTCTCTGAAAATTACACGATCAGCGTATACACGTTATTACTGAACTTAAACATCTGTGACGTGGGCGAATCCGAATTGCGTACCGATTACCTGCAATATTTCCGGTACACCCGGCTGTTAATAATGCATCTATTATTAATGAACGAACTCGGGCGCGATGTTAACGGCCTGCAGACTCGGCAATACGTCACGGGACCCGATAATGCACCGCGTGGGACAGGTGACGTGTAATTGTAAACTCGATCAAAAAGGCCGCCGACTGCCAATGCGATCGGGCGCTGCATTTGCTGTTCGCGTCATATATGCGCCCTGTATATTTACCCCTTCCCGCCCTGCGCGTCATACGCAGAGGTCATTCGGCGAGAGTTTTCGAAATGTTTAATCATTAAAAAAAGCCGTCGACAGAAAATTCGCTACGTCCGGGTTTATATTTTGTCGAGTTCGGCAATCGAAATACCTCGTAGAGTAGCGACTGAAATGCGAACAACGAAGTCGAACTTTTTGTTTTAAACTAATTCTGCAACTTTTGTTGAGCTTGAAGCAAATATTAAATAATCAAATAAAAATTAATGCGTAAATAAAAGAATAAATTTTCATCATAATCTCTGTATAGTTTTTTTTCACGGAAATCGTATCTGAAATTTTTATACGATTTGTAGATTCGGAAGAGTGAAATGAAAGAGTAAAGATAACAATTTCATGTCCAATCATATTTTTTCACTAATATAGATATATATTTAAAAATTTAGAAAATAAATTTAGAATTAAACAATTAAAATAACCGTATAAATAGAAGTGAAAAAGGACATCGATAAATTCAAGATCAGAGTTGTGAGCACTACTAAATGCATAAATCAATACTTGCAAAATTTGCATTAGATTCTAAGATCGATATCCATGGCTGTAAATTATTCGTGATTTTTTTATTGAAAGCAGAATTCATTCTAGAATCGTTTTCATGGTCCATTATTCGATTGTTATCTCCTTTCCGGTTTCTAAAATTCTATTTTTTAGTTGCTCTGGTATTCATGCTCTCATAGAAACGATTTAATTAGCGTGTTAATTAAGGTAATCGATGAGAGCTCGATTGGATATTTTAAGAGCGGAAATGTTTTAATCACTCGTATTATAACACGTATTATAACATACATTATACATGAACTATTTTAATTATTTATATTATAGCGCGTAATACAACGTACGAGTGATTAATATATTAGCCTATAACCTATAACGTCCGAAGCCTATAATATCCGAAACTACGGAAAAGTACGCGAAGTGCGAGAGAACTAAAATAATGCATAAAAAATTCGACGTTATCCTGTGTCAATCGACAAACGTTACCGCCTGCCGCTGAGCGGTCGAGTGATAACAATCAACGCGTTCAAAACATTGCGGACCTTGAAGGCGGTTAAACTCATCATCCTCGTATGTCGCTTCTCTGAATGTTTTCATTACGTTACGAGCCAACGAATGATACGCATACCGCGGAGTACGTGCTTCGTAATACGTTATCATTCTCGTCGAGTGATTAAAATATTTCGTCGGTTCGTGAAATATTGAATCATCATCGGCATCACATTATTTAACACGTGTATCTAGGATTAAATTGTACCTACGCGAGTATCAGTGTTAGTGCCACGACAGAATAACCGGGATGCTAGGTCGAGAAATCAGAATGGAGAATGCAAAACATCGGGACGCGAGCAGCGATGTTTTATATACTTCCGAGGTGAACTATTTATTATATATCATTTATTATACAGGAGTTTTTCATTTTTAACGGATGTTTGACGGATTTCCCGAGAAAATAAAGAGATATCCAAGTCGAAATTTAGGCCGGCATTTATATCCCGTCATCATTTGACAAATAATTATAGCTTCATAAATCTTTAATTATTCATCAACTTATACCTTATTTCATACAAGAAATATTGATCCAAACAATCGAGTAACAGTGTACGTTTTCAATCAAAGATCCTAAATAATTCACAACTATGAATACTGGTCTTACAATTTAATGTAAATCTAACAGTACAGTTTATATTTGTCAAGCAAGATAGAGAGAGGGAAAACTTTCGAAATGTATATATAAATGTAACATTTCCGAGAAATGGGGAATAAATATGTTTTCTTGTATAAAAGTACAAAAGATAATTTTCTTTGACTGATAATCTGCGCCGTGTAGGATATTCACGTGTTAACGGTACTTCAAGGATATCGAACCAATTCTCTGACCGACTGCTCTACGACGGTTCATACGAAACGTTGCACTCGACGCTCGATCACTTTCGTGCGAACAGAGAATTTCTCAGGGACGTAATACCGATGGCGTGTAGTTAATGAATCGTGATTAGTTCGCGAATAATTTCGTTATTATACACGTCGAATGAGGAAGTTTTATCCTTTCACACGCACATATGTCGTCTACGGTGGCATATCTCGCGAAACATATCCCCGCAACTTTACGTGATGCAATAAAATCTCAACGACGTCCGCGTCGATAAAAATCAAATTTTCAGCGTTACGCGTTATTAAATTTTTATTACGAATTTTATTTTATTTGACGACTGTGAAGTATTACAAATAATATCTTTCGTTATTTCGAAATATCAACGCTTGATTTTTTTTAGATCGATTATTCCGCATCGTGTTCCCGAATTAATTCGGACAACCAAGGCTCACTCCATTTTGTTTACATCGGGTAATTTACCGCGGCGCGCGGCAAATTTACGGGGAGAGGATTAAAAACAACGGCGCGCATTAAAATATCTTTTTATCGAGCGGCGAGTTTGCGCTCGGGTGAGGTGTCATAACCCGAAACGTAAAGAATGATACGGGCGATGGTGGGACATGCAGCGGCAAGATTTATAAGGCTCTCACGGGCCGCCATAAAGCTTGAGAATTCTATTTATTTCGCGCATGCGAGGGACCAAATGTGGGACGGACGTGCGATGAGATAAATTTACGGTCCTTTTTAGGCATCAAATCTGCCGGGCCGGCGAAGTTTGGCCTGCAGCCAGAGGCTTCGGCCACGGCAAAACTACACCAACACGCGAACACGGCATTATGAGGATATTTAATTTGTGCTTCGCGCCGTTATATTTCACTCGGCGTTGATGGAATGGCTTGTTCTCTCGATTCCCCGTTTCTACGCGCCTACATGTGATTTACCGTGATCTCTATCGAGCCGGCTTCAAAATACGCGCTGATATATTTTTTGCCTCCCCCCCCCCTCCCCCCTCTCTCTCTTTTTTTCCACTCTTATACACGTATCACACGCACACACCTCCTGTTACATTTCTTTCTTTTAAATTTCTACGGACAACCCTTCTTTTTCATCTCAACCTCGTGTCCTACTATACGTCGTAATATCCGTTTTTCATTCGGCTGCGAGGATTAACATCATCCGTCATGAGGAACGAGAGAAAAAGAGGTTAACTTACATTGCTCGAAATTGGGAATATTTTTGTACACGTTTCAGGAGCTTCGCGCGCTTTGATAGATTACGAAGAAAAATGGAGGGCACTAAATTCTCGTCGATATGCGCATTAAACAAAGGTACTCGTTTTCGGAGCGAGTGCCCTCCGAAATCGCGAGGGCTTTTCAACGGCGCGGCAATTAACGCTTTCGGGGAAAGGGCGATAGTGAAAATCCGCGATGTTAAGAATTCCACTACGAGTGAATGTTTAACGACGAGCTAACGGACAATTGCGTTTGCCTCCGCGATTATCCACGATAATAATTAACGACGCATATGTGTTTTAATAAATCGTCATTATTGTTATTGCGCCTGCTGCAATAATCAAGGGACATCATTACGAGGTGCAATCCGGTTATAATAATAAAAGCGCGCATAATAAGCGCGAGGATAACAAAATAGGACACATGGATCGCTGTTTTGCGCGTGTAAATGTCGGTCCCCGTATGATTATCTCACACCGAACCGACGGACACCCGAAAAGATACTTAGCGAGAACTATCCTTTCACATCTCATCAAATTTATTCGTACAACTTCTTAATGTAAACAGCACCTGCGCGATAATTAAAAACGCAACGACCAATTTCCTCGTTCCTTATGGAGCGTACGTGGAAGGCTGTTGAACCTCGACGGCTGATACGCCGGTTAATCAGGCCCATTTTTAATGATCGGCGACAGCGAACGCCGTCGACAGACTGCTATTTACGGACGTGCTAGTCGAAAACACGCGAAACGAGTGGGCGACTGCTCGATTGCATTCGGCGAGTCGTGCGTCGGATGTGTGCGCGCTGTATTAAAATTTCACACCACCGACGACGGGGGCGACTACTAATTTCGCGTCGCGCGCGGGATTCATTAGTACCAGTAATTTCATTCCGTATACTGTAATCCGCGCGTGATTCACCCCTCGTGCGCGCTCGCTCGCTCGCGTACAGTACGTACGTATGCGTTACGCGCGCGCCATTATTCAGTTACGTAGCTTTGTAAAGATCTGCATCATTCCCACGGGCGGCAGAGATACGCAGTGTATGCCAGCCCGTTGCGAGCCGCCCCTCCCTAAATGCGCCTCTCTTATTTTCTCTGCTCTTGTGCAAGATTATTATCCGCGCGATACGGCGCGCACACGCATACACGTGTACGCTTAAATAGCTATTGTTGCGCCGCCGAAAGGTCGCGTTTGTCGATCGATCGAGACATGCGCTTTCATCCTGCGATAATGATGGACCACGAGCCTGTTTATGCGCAATCCTTTATTACGACGTCGCTGCTCTTTCTTTCTCGGCTGTATTTTATATTACTCCCCCTCTCCATCTCTCTCTTTCCCTCCCCATCTCCCTCGATCGTCGGTACTATCTTCTCTTTTCATCTCGTGTGCTTCTAACTAGCTTCGCGAAGCGTACAGCACGTTTCGTATTGATGGGACCAGTCTACGTCGGTTTTATTGAGGATTAGTCGTCTTTCTGGGTCGCGAGAACTTTCTTCTGAGTTGGTTTTACTAATATTTCGAGCTTTATTCGTCGACGACGTGTGTTTTATGTTCGGAGCGATATTTGTCGCTTATAGATACACGTGCGCGAGAACAACCATGAATAAGCAACGTTGCTTCTAAACGGCGACCGTGAAAGTATTTCAGCGCAAAAGGAAGACGAGGATATCGAGACCGAGAGTGATTCGACGAGGATCGCGTGTGCATGAGTTACAAGGAAGAGGCAGAACGTGAAAGTCTTGAAAGTTTCGCACGTAACGACTGTTCACGGTTTCGCCCTCTTTACTGCGCTGAGACGCACGTCGATTAGGTACGCTTCATCGATCGCGTTAATAAACCTGTTCGGGCGTTGCTTGTATTTAGACGAGCTAGTGTTACGAAAACTCTCAGAGGAAGCACGTAACTGTTCAGACGATCACGTGACATCAATCAATCGATCGATATTTGAAATAAGTCTTCCTATCCCATTGCGTGCCTCGTCGTAACGATAACGCGGGAATAACTTGTCGGAAACAGAAATTTAATGAAGAAATAACCTGGAGATTGCCACGAATAAAAATTTAAAGGAAGTAATCTGAGGATTGCCGGAAATAAAAGAAAAAAAAAATATTTAAAGACCGCGGAGAATTTTACTTTATCAGCGAAGACACGCACACACGAATCTCGAAATGTACGGTATATACAAGTAGTTAAGCAATTAAAATGTAGGTTGTTTTCCTTCCGCTGAATACGATCCACGTGTGAAAGATATTTGCTGTATCGTTGTCTTTACGCGAACAAACAGGAAAGAAATGTTCTAGCATTTCCTTTTCCGCAAGCATTGATAGTGAAAGCGACAAACTTCGATTTCTGTGCCTACGTCGGCTTGAAAAAGCAACGCGGTGTCCCAGCGAAAGGCTTAGCGGGTCGTGGAAGGTACGAGACTCGATGTTCCCGAAGCTTTCGTGTAATGACATGGGTAATCTATGAGAGCAACATGGCCGTGTGAAAAAGTAGGACGTCGAACGGGTCGAAGTATCGATCACCGAAGAGCGATAATGACTCGATGGATTTGAAAGCGGAAGATGCCGGGCAACCTTTTCAAACGACTCTCATTTTCTCTGCCCCGACCCGTGATTACTCCCGCATCATTTGTCCTTGCTCTCTCTCTCTTTTTCTCTGTCTGTCTTTTTCTATCCCCCCTCCCCTCTCTTTCTCTCTATCTCGCCACAAAAACAGTTTTGCCTTTAATCCCCGTCATAACATAAAACCTTGTCAAGGCCTCTCGTTCTGCACATTAATGTTAGTTGCGTTTTATAGATATTACGTCTTGCGTGCCCAGTAACGTCATTATTTATTATATTAAAAAATTGTCCGTAGGAAAAAAGTGAAATGAACATAATCGATAACATTCTTTTCTGTTCCTTGCGATTAATTGATTCTGACGGATGCGAAGTTGTTGAACCCTTTACGAAACAATTAATCGTAAATAATTAATACGAGAATCTTCGAATCGACGATTCTGCCACGATGAGACAAGAATATCCGTATCAATGAGTAAACGATCGGGGTTCGGTAAGAACACATACATACGCGCGTTTCCGCTTTTTTCGTCGATGTACGGCTTAGATTCGAATTCGATACGTCATCGGGGAAGGAAGGACTTTAATAATCGAACGGCAGTAAAACAAGCCAACGAACGAACAATGGGGACTACGTCGATCGCGGAAGAGATGCGCGTCGGAAGACGGCCGGAGAAGCGAAAAAGTAAAGAGACTGCCGCGT